ATACACAGTATAATATGGTATTTTGTTTTCTCACTCCTATCCCCCCCCCACATTTAAAAAAGAAAATTTATATGGAGAGTCTTGTTCCCTGGCAACTTCTTGGGGGATATGGTTCTTTATTTGGGGGGGGGGGTGTTTTCTACGGGGCCTTGCAGGATCGTGGCATTCATCATTCCCAGTTCCAATTTCGCCACTCCTAGAGAGCTCAGCGTGGCGTACACCCACATTTAAAAAAGAAAAATTAATATGGAGAGTCTTGTTCCCTGGCAGCTTCTTGGGGGATATGGTTCTTCATTTGAGGGGTTGTGTGTTTTCTATGGGGCCTTGCGGGATCGTGGCATTCATCATTCCCAGTCCAGTTTCGCCACTCCTAGAGAGCTCAGCGTGGCGTACACGGCTCTTCTCTTCCCCATGTTTATCCCCAAACACCCTTTTGAAGAAGGTCCAGTTGAGAAAAAAGGATGTGCGTTTTGTATTTCTGGGATTGGGTTGGGGGGGGGATGAGATTTCACAGGCAAGATGGCCCTCCGTGCCCGCCCAGGATTCCCAGCGGCATCATCAGAAATTAGGAGCTTTGCTCCTCCTTTTCCTTCATTTTAAATTTCTGAAAGCCGAACGGCAGCTGTCTTTTCTCCTTTATGGGGCTGCCAGGAATTGGTGGAAGGAGAAGGTGATCCTGCGTGTTTAGAATGGTTAAGCAGGGGAAGTCTAGATTAGCTTGGAAACTCCTCAATTTAATATTCTGACATATCTTTGGAGATAAAAGAGAGCCAGCCCTTATGGCTTTCCTTCTGGAATGTCACACCATCTACCTGGTGTGTCAGGATTTTTAAATGAATTTATTAGAGCATTGGCAGCCCTATTATTAAATGTGTATTGCAAAGATCTTAAGGTTTGGTACAGGCAGTAGAGCAGCATCAGAAAATGGGAAAGCATTTAAAGTCGGTTGGGTAGCGTGTCTGGTATCAGCTAAAACAGACTGTGATTACTGGGGCTTGAAATCTTCAGGTTGCAAGCTTTTTTTAAGGGCATGGGGTCATTTAGAGATGTGAGGACAGCTTACAAGTGATTAGAGCATTCATTATAGTAGGGGCTCGTATCTGTGGGATTGGTATCTGTGGTTTCACTTATCCACTATCTGAAAATATGAAAAATTATCTTTAATTTATTTATTTATTTGATTTATATCCCCCCACCTGGTCTATACGACCACTCTAGGCGGATTAATCCCGTTCCCATGCATTCCTATGGGAAATGGTGCTTCGACTGAACGACCATTTCGAGTTACGCCCTTCTTCTGGGACGGATTAGGGTCGTAAGTCGAGGCACCGCTGTAGCTGGCACCTTGTCGTGGTCTTTAAAAGAGAATGAGGCAAATCTGTGGGAATGCTAGGATTTGCCAGTCAGCTCCTGTTTGTAATGAGAGTGTCAGCTTCTCCTCTTCAGGGAACATGCCGTCAGATGCAGAATCGGGGCCTTCGTGTGTCTGGTAGCTGTTTCCAGCTTCCTTGGCGGCAATTCTTGGCCTGTAACTGGATGACAGCCGGATTTGTTTATGGCATGTGTGCCTACTTGCTGACTCTTCAACACCTTGTCTCGGGATGCTGAAGGATCGTTCTGAGCCGTTTCATGTGGGAGACGCGCGTTTCGTTTGCTTTTTCGGAAAGCAAGTTTAAAGTGTGCGCAAAGCTCCAAAATCCATAGAGAGGTGCAGTTGTTTTGTTAAGAACAATTGTTGTGCACAAAATATAAATCTGTGTTTAAAATGTTCAATTCCTTTCCCCATCTTCTGTGCCCCCCCCGTTGTACATTATACCTTCAATGCTTGTTAAAAATTCCCCGAGTATAAAAAGTATATTTAAGCCATTTCTCCAAATGTGTCATTTTGGTGGGCCTGTCCTCGGTAAGGTTGGCCGCAGGAACTTTGCTTCCCGAAGCAAAGTAATAAACAGTGCCCCCCCCCAAAAAAAGCCCACTGGTTTAGTTATTTATATGCTGCTTTCCCACAGCAAACTATGCCTTAGGCCGCTCGCCGTAAACAAAATGGTGTTTGTTGTGTAGAGGAGAGAGGAAGGCATGTTATAAATCATTAAACATTAAAATTAAAACAAAACGTGCAGAAGATCTATAAGACTTGAAGAGAAACCAAGTTTCATTTGGCGATTATGTTGGCATTCTCTCAGCATCAGCTTTAGAGTGCCTGCAAATTTTTTATTTTGCAAGCGTAAATAAAATATGCCTTTCCAACATCCTTTGGCAAACAACTTGATGAGTTAAATTAAAAAAAAAACGCACACACACACACACAGGGTAAGCTGTACAGTTACACTGCAAAAGGAGGAAACACGCTATTATGTTACCATTGTTTTGTTACTTAGTAATGCCATACTGTACTGGATAGAGTGATGGAGTAGGACTCACGAGGCCTGGGTTCGAATCAACAGGGGAAAAGCTCACTGGGGGAATGGAACTGGTAAAACCACTCCTTAAATATGAGCCCAGGTGGCTTAAGGCCTGATCCCCCCCACCCCCCACAGGCACTTTCAGGTGAGAACTGGGTTTAGAAGGAAGCGATGGAGGAGACTGGCATGCCAGCTTCTCTCCTCATGTACAGGTGATCCCATCCTGTTACCAGCGCCCTTCCTTGGCCCCCCCTCTCCCCATCTTTCTTGCCTCTGGGCTGGGTTCTTGGGCCTCTGAGTGCCCGTTCGTTCGCTCTGCTTGATCGCGTGGGTCTGCTTGTCCCGCCTTACAGGCAAAGTCTCTGGCCCGTAGGACGTCTCCCTCTCAATTCACCGGGTTTTAAGGGCTACGATTCCGTTCCATTTCCCTCTCTCCCGACTAGCAGAAGACTTATAGACATGAGCGTAATCCTCTTGACGGCAGCAGGACTGGGGTGTCACCCACCTTTTGTACCTTGTCTGTTTAAGTGCAGAGCACGTCCACAGCCCTCGCGCTGGTCTGCCTCAGAACGCTTTGAAGCCCTTTCCCTGCAAAATAATTCCACTGTTCCTTTTTTTAAAAAATCCGCTTCCTCTTTTTCTTCCCAGTTGCCCCGTTTCTTCCCTCTGCTTCTGGATATTTTTAGACTGCTTGGAATGTCTGTTTCTCCTCTCTCTTCTCCCTCTCCTCCCCCCCCAGCTTTGTTTTTCTATCTGAGGCCGGGAAATTGGCATTATTCCTGCCCCCCCCCAGTTTGCTCACTTTTCTCTTCTTTCCCACTCTACCATTTTTGTTTGCCTTGCCAGATCTTCCATCTGCTTCCTATTCCTGTGGCTTCTTCAGGGCACCTCGTTTCCTTTTCTTATTCAGTCTCGGCACGTCTCCGTGTAGTCTTCTACCTGTTTTGTGAAGGTGTTGGCAGAAAAAAAAATACAGTTCCTCTTTATACATAAGTCTATGTGGTTATGCTCATATTGAAGCATCTGGGGCGTTTTTGGTGCAGCTGCCAGGAAGGTGAACCACCTTGGCACACAGTGGATTTGATTCATGTCCCATATATGGGTGCAGAGGCACACTTGAGGTCATGCTTTGTAGCTACTTTGCACCAATGTTTTCAAGAACATGGCACCTGCTAAGGTGGAAGAGCAAGTGGCAGTACAGTATTCCTCCCTCCCTCCCTCCTCCTATATGACCAACGGCCGCTCTGGGTGGTTTACAAGCAATCAAAGAGCATAAAAAACGTCAAAATACATTAAATTAAACTTAAAACAAATATTAAACAAGGCAAAAACTTGCAACTATACCTCTTACTTCAAGTGGGAATATGACTGGCATGTAGAAAACAAAAAAACAAACAAAATATCTGTTTCAATTTCATAGCATTTCTTCAAATCTTACCTGAATGTTCTCCTTCTCCTGGTTTTGGATAGGACTATGAAACCTTTCTTTCCATATTTAAATTTGCACGTTTTCCCTAATTTATACATGTACGTGTTGCTTCTTACCCAACGTCCGCCATTTTGTACCTTGAATGAAACAATGCATATTTCTTTCAATTGACCATTTTTGCCTTCCAGTTTGTGCACACCTTATGGCTTTGAAACACCTCTGAAGCTCACAGAGGTACAAATTCTTGAGGCTAAGTGTGTTTTCCTCTCCCAGTGAGTCTTGAGAGGTGTAAAAAAAACCCCTTGCAGTCAGAACTGTCAAATCCAGTGAAGTCCTTTTCTACCTTTAGTGGCAGAATTACCGTCCTTTGTGTGGAGCCTGTGAAAAGACGCTGTATCCCTAGATCAGGACTGAATCCTTCGTAGTTCACAAGTGGGGAGGTGGAAACTTGACTTCTACTCCTGCTGCCTCTTTTTGCATGTGTCATTTCATTTCATTTTATTTTTACCACTGCTGTCAAGAGTCTGTGGAGCACCAGTATGGCGTGCGACTTCGTGTCGGCTCTGTCCAGTGAGTCTGGTTTCTCCATTCCTACGTATTTCCTACTCTTACCTACAACCTCGAAGTGAGGCTAAATCTATATGCCTCAGTCCGGTGGCTAATACCAGCTAGAGAAGATCTGTTGAATCAATAGCTGAATCGTAAAAACAATGCTTATACAACTCCTGTGGATTTTATAAGTCTCCTATAGATGGGTTAGATTTAGGCTGTAGTCCATCTGGTTCTCTGTGTTGCTGGAGTTGACAGCCTTGGCCGGGTGATCCTGTTTTTTTACACAGGGAAGAGAAATCTCTCATTAAAGAGAGAAGTCCAGGGGGAATCTATTTTAGTCAAAAACAACAACCGCAGGAATAGACGACTTGATTTATGTGAGAAGAAAAACAACAAGCGATACCCTCCCAGCCTTTTCTTTTCTCTCTTCTCCCCATGTGAATGGAAGATGTCCTCAAGGGGTTTTGGTGTGGAGGGAAGGGAAGGATAGGCCGGTGTGTATTTTCCCTCTTCATCCTTGTGATGCTTTACGTGCCGGAGTCCCAGCTGCGGCGCTCGGTTCTGAGGCTCCTACCATCCATGGCTAATGTCGATTTTTGTCCTTTTTCCCTCCCCAGGACTGAGCTTGCCTTGAAGGAAACCATGTCGACAGGCGGCGTGGAGGATGATATCCCACAGGCAGAGAGGAAAACAGTCACGGACTTCTGTTACCTGCTGGATAAATCCAAGCAGCTTTTCAATGGCCTAAGGTCAGAAGGGTTTTGTGGGTGGGAAAGGAGGGGTGCTTTTGAGGAAGAACCGTGTTATCCTATATTGGGCATGTGTGTGTGTGTGTGGGGGGCTCAACAACCTTAAAATCTACAACCTGTTTCTGCCCCTCTTATTTTTGCAACCCCAATTCCCTCCCCCTTGTTCTGTTTTACATAATTTTGCCAGTCACAGGGGGTGACAAGACACTCTGCAGTGCACTTCTGAGCTTTTGAGATTTCCGTGGGCTGTCCCTAAAACACTTTTAACACCACCCACAAGGGCAACACCCATGTGATGTCTACACCTTGTGGCATTCTTTGTGTGCACTTGTTTTGCCTGGGTGCAACAGAATCATTGACCCTTTTTTGGGTGACACGTGCACAGCGGTGATAACAGGCAGAAAGATTTGGGAAGGTAAAAAACAGAGGTCAAGAGGGTTAACTGTGGATGTGTTGATTTTGTGAAGCTGTAAAGTAAAATATATCATACTTGACTTGTAGAAGAGAATTGGAATTTCATTGTTATTTATGATTGTAAGATGTGCTCTTAACAATTTAAAAAAAAAATCCAGGATTCCATCAAATCTGCCTGGATGGTCTTAACCTTTGTCTGTCCAGATGTTTTGGACCTAATTTCCCATAAGGCTAATTGTGGGAAATTTCCCTGATTTCCCATAAGATCCGTATTGGCCATCCTGGCTAAGGCTTCTTGGAGTGGAAAGCAAAATGCAGGCTTAGACTCTGTGCCCCCTACTGTCTTAGGAAACCTAATTTTACCTACTAAATTTTAAGCTTGTCTCAAAGAAGAAGACATGATTCTTTCCCCCAAATTCACCCAGTCTGTTTTTAGAGGTCTTCAAGGCACATTCTAGTGGTGTGTGGGGCCAAAGACAGAAATGCAGAACAAAAATACCCATGTATTTTACCTTTGTAGTGTAGTGGACAGAGTGACAGACTAGGACTCTGGAGAACAGGGTTTGAATCTCCACTCCACTATGGAAACTCACTGTGAGGGGGGGGGCGGAAGTGGTAAAACCAACTCCTTAAATCTTTCACTTATCTTGAAAACCCTATTAGGATCACTATATGTTCATTCTGACTTGATGGCACATAATATTTTAGCTTTTGGCTCCAGTTATCATTAATTAAGCCTAAGAAGAGGAATTTTGATGCTTTAGAAAGTGGTGGTAGACCGCTAAACAATTTTACCATGAGGGAAGGGGACTTCTGCTGGATTCCAGAGATCCAGTTTCAACCCAGGCTCTCAGGTTCCCCATCCCTCCAGCAGCGAAGAGGAGCATCCTTTCTACTGTTGCATCATATAACGCAGATCCTATACATTGCATTGACTGTCAGCCGTTTGTCCGTTGATTCGTATCATGTCTTTCTCCTCAAGAGGGCCCTAAACCTTTCGGTTTGAACCCCAGATTCTCCAATTAAACTGTTATGGGATTATAATTGCTCCTGTGTCGTGGTGGACCATGATCGTCCAGCTGCTAAGAGTTTGTCGTCTTTCCAACATGGCAAGCAATTTGAATGGGCTTCCTCTTTTCGCTGATCCTATCTGAGGATCTCACTCTAGCTTGTTCGGTGGATTGAATGGGGTTATTATATGAGAAAATATGTTCAAGACTGGTCCTTAATTTGTGGAATATATAGCATGCTCAATGTTGTGCATTCTCACACTTTGCTACATCAAGGATGGTGCTAGCAGAAGCTCACACTGAAATAAACGTGTTAGTCTTTCTGGCTTCACCCTACTTGTGTGTGTTTTTTTTAAATTCTTGTTATACATGCTGAAAGAGAGTAACACAGCTATCTCTCACTGACCTGTATGCTGATAATGTGAATGCACAGTAAGATTTCTCCAATAAGCTCCCGTTTGTTGATTGTGAAGGGAAGCAACTTGTTTCTGTTGGTGCAAAAGCTTTATAGGTAATAGCGAGGGTGACATTCACAAAAAGCTGTGCAGGTAGAGGAACGGTGTGTGTGTGTGTGTGTATAGGAAACGTTTAATCCGTCCTGGCTAGCTGTTGCTATAGCTGCCCTGGCAAGCTGGAACAGAATTAATGAAACACAAGATAGCGATCGGCCCCTGTTGCTTGCTCTCTTGGCAGGAGTTAAGGAGGTTGTGCGTATCGGAGCAGCTTCTCGCTTGAAACTATCCATTGTGCTAAATCTGTTTCGTCCCTTCCCTGATTTGGACAAGGTGACTCTGAAGCTGACAATTTTTGTTACCTAAGCCCTGATGTTTTCCTTTGGGTGGGTGATCGCCTTCATCTGTGCGTTAGGCTGAGGCGGCTTCACCCAGCAGCAGATTTTTTTCTTCCAAAGCTACATTAAGGTCAGTCAGATAAAAGGCTGGGAATTCTCTCTTAGGACCCTTGTTCGGCCCCTTACATGCACGTAAGGATTGGGGCCTTGACCCTTCTAACGGGGATGGGGACTTAAGTCGTGGGACTCGCTGTCAAGTCGGATTTAAGTCACACAGATGACTCAAGTTTTGTTTTCAGTGACTTGAACTCAACTCTTGACTTAGAACCCACCCAGCTCTCCTTTTTTTTCCCCAGGGGAATAAGCTTGTTTTTAATAAGGACTCAGGCTTGGGACTTGGGAACATCTTGAGCCATCAGTATTGTCATGGACATTAGCCAGTAGGCGCTTCTCTGCAGACAGCTTTCCACGGTTTACTCAGATTTCCAGAATGCTATTTTTCATCACGTTCCTCAGGACAGAGAAAAGATTCCTCCTTCTCCCTCCCCCCCTTTTTTTTGACTGAACAGGATGAGGATTCATTTCAGCCTGCCCTAACGGTTCTTTTTTAAAAACTCTGGCCTCCTTCTCGAAGATTTTGGAAAGCAGAATTTCTCCATCCACAGCACTTGTTCTTTAAAAAAAAAGCAGGTTGAGAGGCTCTGTGGGAAGGAGCTGGCGCTTTGGGGGGGTAAGGCCAGGAAAAGGTCTCCAGGTGGTGATGGGTGTCCGACCGACGTGTGGGCCTGATTTCCTGCAGGGCTGGAATGCTTTGGCCATGGATATTGCTCTCCTTCGCCGATATCCCCGAGCTTGCGACGCATTGCGGCTTCCACCGACAGCCCAATAATTGCCTTCATTCTTTAAAGGCCTTTTGTTGGAGCTGCATGCTGGGCTAATAGCTTCTTTCTATTATGAACCCTGAAGAACAGGAAGTAAGTGTGTGTGTGTGTTAAAAACCCATACACCAAGGGAAGAGAGTCCGTCTCTCCATCTTAAGACAGGGCGGGTTCCTCAGCAGGCGCATGTGGTCAACATAGGGACAATTTATTCTCGTCGGCTTTCATGGCCGGGCTCCGACAGAGCACAGAATTCTGTTTGTTCCCACCATGGGGGATGCCCCCCCTGCCCACCCCTGTGTTACGGTAATAACACGGAGGTTTCTCTCATTTTTGGTATTTTCTAGGGACTTGCCTCAGTATGGGCAAAAGCAGTGGCAGTCTTACTTCGGGCGGACCTTTGATGTTTACACCAAACTCTGGAAGTTCCAGCAGCAGCACCGGTAAGGGAGAAAATTGTGTGGGTGGTTGGGGAATGGTCCTACTGTTAGGCAGAGGGGGAGGCAGCAGGTAGTCTGAGGGACATTGCTTTAGCTCCCCAGCCCCAAAATGGAAGAAAGCTTGTTGCTAGAGAGTCAGACGAGTTTAGCAATTCTCCCGGGGAGATGTAGTGCAACGTGGAAGGCTTGACATCAAAGCCTTCCTCTTAAAGCCTTGTCTTTTTTTTGGACTTAGTACCTTCCACTGGAGGAAAACATTGTGGAGAGGATGTCTGAGCTAGGCCTTCCCGGCTCCCAGGCTGGAGAAAATTAGGAAGGTTAACCCCTGAATAAAACTGATGTGTCTTAAAAGGGATAAAAGGTAGAGATTTATCCCATTGTAAGCAATAAGTGTGGAGTGCTGTATTGGGAGCTATAAAAGGTTGACACCAAGGTTAGTCTTATCGCTGTTGGTTTGAACATATAAAATGTGACCCGTTCTCTCTTTTTTTCTTATTTCCGGTCCACAACGGAAGGCAAGTCCTGGACAATCGGTATGGCCTGAAGCGCTGGCAAATTGGAGAAATTGCTTCTAAGATTGGGCAGCTTTACTACCACTATTAGTAAGTGGCAGACAAGTTTGGCACATGGCCAGAGGTGGCAACAGAGGTGGCAACGGCCTGGCCGCTCCCCACTCTCTTCCGGCCGGCTGTTCCACCTGCGCTCTTCCGGCAGAAAGCTGAGCTCTCCTAATTTTCTCCCGCAGCCTTCGCACCTCCGAAACCAGCTACCTAAACGAAGCCTTCTCCTTCTACTCCGCCATCCGGCAGAGGTCGTACTACTCGCAAGTCAACAAAGAAGACAGGTCAGGCCATGCCTCAGTCTTGTGAGTTTTTCACAATTTACAAACGAGACATATGGTATTGTAAACTGATGATTCTCTGGCAGCGACTCTAGGTTCGTCCTGTGTCTAGAGGCATGGACCTTGTGCTTAGAATTCAGTGGGGACACAGGAGAGGGCCTTCTCTGTAGCTGCTCCTCTTGAGACTGTGGAACTCCCTCCCACTGGAGGCCAGCCTGGGCCCCATCTTGGCTGTCCTTCCACCAGTAGGCCAACACCCTTCTGTTCAGGCAGGCTTTCCCTGAGTGACCCGCTGCCTGAGTGGGGTTATTAAACAGATTGTTGTGCCTTGTTGCTTTGAAAGTGGTGTTGGTGTCGCTTTTGCTTACCTTTTTGAAATGTATTTGCTTGGCCCTTTTTAGTATTTGCGTACTTACTGTTTTCAGCTGTTAAATATTGTTGTGTTTTTTAAAATGCTGTGAGCCTCCTTGGGTCCTTTTTCAAAGAGAAAGGTGGGATTAAAAAAATATATGTCTTAAATACCTCAATAAGGAGCTTCTGTGTAGGAGCCAGCGATCAGCGCTGAGCAAGGTCAAGACAGAGAGAAAGCCCAGACTTGACCAAGTCAAATCCAAAAGAAACTCAGTGCCTTGGGAAAGTCTGGCCTCTGCAGGAAGAATCCTAACCCTTTCCATCGAAGAGAGAGCTCAGATGGTCTAGCAATGTTCACAACGGAAAATACAAAAGAAAGAAGACCAAATATAGTAGTCCTTTAAAGACTGCTGGTTTTATTTCAATATGGGATTTTTCAGATCAAGATCCACTCCCTCTGACCCAGGAGTGGAAATGCATGTCCTGTGTATTTATATACGTCCCCATGACCAGGTGGGGTACCCAGTGTGGCGTTCCGGATAGATTAATGGACTAGAACCTCAGGAGATCTGGGTTCTGTTTCTCAGCTCTGCCAAAAGAAACTAACGAGGGTGTGCGTGTGTGAAACTGATAAAACCACTCCTTAAATATTTCACTGACCATGAAAACTCTGTTAGCATTACTATAGGTCATTTCTGACTGGACAGCACCGAACCAGCAACATGACCGAGCGAGAGGACAGCTTGACAGACTCATTTTTGCCTTAACAAACAATTGTCGCTTTGTCTATGTGTGTCCCCACCTGTTCATACGTATATGTATAAATATAAAGGTCGTATACGAGGCAGTGGAAGACAGGTGGGCCTGGCGTGCTGTAGTCCACGGGGTCATGAAGAGTCAGACATGACTTAATGACTAAACAAATATGAATCCTACAGGCCTCTGGAATGCTGGCCCAACAAACCATCCAGCTTTCCAGATCCAGGAACCATATAAATGCTTTTTTCCTTCTTACATCACAGCTTATAGTTTACAATGTAATAATTCCTCCACCAGATCCACCTTCTTCCTGTGCCTGATCGCTTTCCTTTTGTTTCAGTTTACTGAGTTGTTCTTTCCCCCCTTTTGCTTTCCTCTATCCAGGCCGGAACTGGTCGTTAAGAAACTGCGCTACTATGCCCGGTTCATAGTGGTTTGCCTTTTGCTCAACAAAATGGATGTTGTCAAGGACCTAGTAAAGGTAAACGGTCGTGCCTTTGCGATATACAAAGCGGACGTCGAGAGGAGAAAGAAAGAGGGGAGTTAGCCCCACAGCAGCCCTGCAAGGAAGATAACTGACCCTGATGGAATTTAAATATAGGTTTCACCCATCCTAATCAAAAGCTCTGGCCACTGTGGCGATTATTTCCCAAAAGTGTGTGCTGTGATTAATTAGTTAATTAACAGGGGGGTCTTGAGAGCCAAAGGTATCTGACACTAGAGGAAGCTGCTTGCTGTGACTCTAAGATGCATTATTCTGTTGATCACTTGTTTGCTGCGTTGCGTGCTGCAGTCACTCCCCAGCCCGTGGGAGCGAAGAAACCTGGGCAAGAATTGCTGGGCTAAACTCTCTCCGCTGTTCAGAGCGGCTGCTCAACCTCTGCTCTCTTTTTCTCCCTTCCCAGGAATTGTCGGACGAGATTGAAGACTATACCCACCGATTCAACACGGAGGACCAGGTGGAGTGGAACCTGGTTCTCCAGGAGGTGGCGGCCTTCATTGATGTAAGGAGCTGAGGGCCAGTCTCTTCGGTGGTTCCGAAAAGTTAAACGTTGGCTTGGAAACTGGACAGAGATATTTTGCTACTCTTTTTTCTCGAAAATAAGAGCTAACCTGAAAATAAGCACGAGTCTGATTCTTCAGGATGCTCGTCATATAAGCCCTACCCCAAAAATAAGCCCCGGTTAAGTGAAATCCTGCCCTCCACCCTTGTGCAGCAACCAGAAGAAGATGACACGACTGTATTTGAATAAATGTAGATGGTTGTACATGAAAAAAAAAATAAACCACCCCCTGAAAATGAGCCCTAATGTGTTTTTTGGAGCAAAAATTAATATAAGACTCTGTCTTCTTTTGGGGGAAACACAGTAGGACAAGCTTGGGTAACTCAAAGTTCTTGGACTGCCGTTCCCCAAAGGCTTTGCCCACACAGCTGGTGGCAAAGGCTTCTGGGAGTTGCAGTCCAAGAACCTCTGGGTTACCCAAGATTGGAGCCCCCTGTTCTAGGACAGTGGGAAGGCACTGGTGGCCCTCTTGTAGTTTTGGATGATGCCTCTCTTAACTGACTTTTCGTGATTGGCCTTGTGGAGAGGATCAGGGATATGGGCAACCTCCCTCCCCAGCCCTGTTGTGATGATACCAGACAACTTCATGTGTAGTTCTGTTGCATTGCTGCTTCCCTTTCTGGCATGAAATAGAATCAGTGATGGGAAAACTGAGACCCAGCCTTTCTAAGGCTCGCACAGACGGCCGTGACTCTTTCCCTATAACATCACCGTTTGACCCTTTCCTAGATGGTGTGTGTGTGTGTGTTTTGGCAAGACTTCCCCCATTCTTAAAACAAAGAGGGAATGCTTTTCTTCAGGCTTTATAACGGGCACTGAAAGGGCTGAACTAAAAGTTCCTGGCCTTTTTGGTCCAATCTTTTTGCTTTCGGCTCTCCTGGAATGCAAACCCCGAGAAGATCTCAGAAACTTGGGAAAAAAATAAAGGTCTCCCTCCTTGATCTGGATAGACTTGACTCTGGGCTGTTCTCCTCGGAAAGCCCTCATTCTCCTCACCGTCTCTCTTTCCAGGCAGACCCGGTGATGGTCTTGAACGACGACAACACGCTCGTCATCCTCTCCAATCGTCTCTCGGAGATAGGAGCGCCGGCGCTGGAGCAGGGGATGATAGTCGGGCAGCTGACCCTCGCCGACGCCCTGATCATTGGCAATTGCAACAATCAGGTGGGATTTTGCTGGGGGAACATTTTGTCCCATGTCTCCAGAATAAAAAGAAGGCAAATTCGGATGGCTAATGTGAAGACGTCCTGTCTCAGTGTGGCCACTAAACAATGCCGTGTGTGGCCTGGAAAGCAGAGAGCCCTGCTGGGGGAACATTTCGTCCCATGTCTCCAGAATAAAAAGAAGAAGGCAAATTAGGATGGCTAATGTAAAGATGTCCTGTCTCAGTGTGGCCACTAAACAGTGCCGTGTGTGGCCTGGAAAGCAGAGAGCCTCCCTTAGAAATCCTAGTGATATCGGAGGTCGATGGAGTGGGAAGAGGCTGATTGCCTCTGTAATCCAGTCCGGAGCTGAGTAAGACTTTGAATAGTAATATCATTACTTTAAGCCTAGCTCAGGAGCAGATGGGCAGCCGGGGTAGGATTAATCTGTGCCGATGAAAGAGGCGTGTGGGAAGACACGTGCAGCCATTCGTTTAGCCTCTCTGTTCTCTCCCAGCGGGGGCTTGCTGAATCAGCCGGAAGGGCCGCCCCACACAGAGCGAAGGGCCGTAATCTAATTTCAAGGCTGGTGGTAGATAGATCGCAGGGATCAGACTATCCGTCTCTAGGAATAGTGATATCCAGCCACCTGCAAGAAGGGGCTGCAAATGGCGGCCTCGGTCTAGTTACCAGTCCCCGCTAGAGTAAAGCTGCGGAGCCGAGCCAGCGCTCCTCCGATTCAGCTGGGCTTGTTAGGAGAAGCAGCTGGGTCCCGAGACCTCTCTCCTAAAGAGGCCTCCCCCTTGTCACAGCTTCCCGGGATTTGCTAGGAAAAGAGAGCCGGCCATGAGGTTATCTGTCCTCAAAGGTCACTTTTAGTAATGCTTTTAAGGAAAGGCTTCGAAGGCTTCTCGCTCCATCGGGTGCGACTTTCTTTTCTGCCAGTCTTCTGGCGTGGCCACTTTCCTGGGCGGGGGATGGGTGGCCGCAAGCGGGGGAGTCTGGTTTGTCACCCCTGAAGACACTTTCAGTTTCTCGCCTCTACAGGTGGCAAACCCCAGCAAAAACTGTGGATGGAAATGATTAGGAGTCATTTCTAAAAAGAACCCTTTCTGGCCAAAACAGAGCTGCACACCTTGTCTTACTAAGAGAACGATTCTCCTCGTTTGATTTTTAAAAATCTTCTGTTGCTTTTTTTTGGGGGGGGGGGTAATCACAGGTTCCAAGGGCTACAAATTGGCCCCACATCGCCTCTCCTCCTGTATGGGGCTGCAGGGTTGATGTTTTTCTCCTAAGGAGGGCAGATGTGTTTTGCCACCAATATGAAACGTGAGGCTTTGTGAATTGCCCCCTAAATAGATTCAGCTGCTCTTTTCATCCTTCCATGCTGCTGGTGCATCTCATGCAAAAAAAAGTGTTGTTTTTTTAAAAACTGTTTTTCTAATGCTGGCTGCCGGAAGCTCTAGAAGTCAGAGGGATCTATCACACGGTCTTCAAGACAGCCGTAACCTGCAACCTGTTCTCTTTGGCAGGTGAAGTTCAGTGAGCTGACAATCGACATGTTCCGGATGCTGCAAGCTTTAGAACGGGAGCCCATGAACTTAGCTTCACAAATGAACAAGCCTGGGTTGCAGGCAGGTCTTTTATGTTTTTCATTCGCCAGGGTTAGCAAACCGGCCATTATTTATCTTTGGGAAGGGAGGCCGCAGTCGTTGGTCCCTCCTTAGATTTCCACAGGGGCAGACTGCCACCTTCGAGAGGGAGCTATCTTGAGATGAGTAACCCAGTATTTCTGTCTTTCTCTCTCTCTTTTTTAGCGAAAACTGCAAGAGTTGTAGTTGTACAAGGGGTAGCTATGTTAGTCTGTGCAGGCATTAGAGGGAAAAGCAAAACAGAAACTTTTTTAAAAAAAAACAGGGTGGCAACTCAAAGACTAACGTTTAATTTTTAGAAAATGTGAGCTTTCGTGGACAAGTCCATTTCGTCAGACATTAGAGAAGGAGATTTAACATGGCAAATATGTCACATAGTGTCAAAATCTAGATATCAACAGACAGAGATTGTGGTGGGTTGGTTGGTAAGAAAGTCCGTGGGCGCTGACGAGAGCTGCTTTAGGAACGTGCCTGTTTTTCCTCTTATCCAGGAGACCACCGAAAAACCTGCAAGAAGGGAAAACCCTCACAAGTACTTGCTCTACAAGCCGACTTTCAGCCAGCTCTATACTTTCCTGGCTGCGTCGTTTAAGGTCTGTGCAGGAAGAGGGAGGGGTGGGTTGGAGGGGGGGTATGGGACGTCGGTGTGGCTGCAGAGTCTCCTAAAGTAGAGGCCTTTCCCAGTTGAAATGTGGATGGATAGCTTTCTGCCTTTAAAGTCAAAAACCTTCAGGAGCAGGGCCAAAACTGGGTAAAGAGAAATTGGAAAACGTTACTGTGATCCTGCTGTTTGTACAGTAAACACAAGCCTGCAATTAGGAAGCAGCAAAATAAGAGGATACGTTAGCTTCCCCCACCACAGTAGCATTCAAGGTGGGTGGGGAGAGTATCTACCTGGGGTGGGCTGCTTGGGTTTGGATAGCCACGTGAGGCCTGAGAGCTGTATTTGCGGCTCATAGATTCCGTCTGGCTCCAAGATTATTTCTTTCCTTTTGAGTCTCTCCTAAGATTTGGGAAACCTGGGTTCAGATCTGCCAGGAAGCTCCCTGTGCTACCTTGAGCGAGTTATCCACCCTCAGGTTGACCAACTCTGCAGGGTTCTCGTGAGGATAAAGTGAAGAGGAGGAGAGCCATTTACGCTTGCCAGGCCTATCGATCTAAAAACCCACAGTAATAAAATCGATAGCCGACACGGCACAAGCGCTCGGTGTACTGGATTCATGCATTCACAGCTAAACCTTGCCCGTCCTTTTGACTCTCACCTCTGCCGCCTCCTTGTCTCTTTCAGGAGCTGCCGATAAAATCGATAGCCACACGACACAAGCGCTGGGTGTACTGGATTCCTGCATTCACAGATAAACCTTGCCCATCCTTTTGACTCTCACCTCCGCCGCCTCCTTGTCTCTTTCAGGAGCTGCCTGCAAACAGCGTCCTGCTGATCTACCTGTCGGCCACCGGCGTCTTCCCTTCAGGTCGTTCGGATAGTGAAGGTACAAATAAAGGAATGCTCCCTGTCATGCGCAGGGCTTGAATTCTCTTTATGATTCCCCACAGACGGACCGGAGAAGGCCTCCAAACTCATTCTCTCAAAGGAGAAGCTGCTCCCTCCACACCGCTCTCTCCCGAAGCGGTGTGGCTTCCCTTTGCTGACATGGCAGGTCCGTGTGGCTTGTATGTCTGGGTTTCTTTCTCGGCTTATCTTTTTTTGGGGGGGCCATGTGGAAGGCGTTTAACGATCGGAAGCATTCGGCCTGGTTCTGATCCCTGCCAGTTCAGATATAATCATCTTCGCGTTTGAAGACGACGACGTATGTGCCTCTGCCTTAAGCAGAAAAGGGAGCTTGGCCAAGCCACTTAAAAATAACAAACAAACTAAATGCAGTGAACATAATGCAAGAGGTTTGGCTTTTTCACTGCTTGGGCAACATGTAATCTGATACCTCTTTTACACAAGTGTAAGCCGGCAATCCAGAAATGAGGATTTCTGCTTTAGTAAGGCCAGTGAGCAATCCTGCATTGATGGGTCTTTGTCTTCCACCCTGTAGGATTCCAGCACCACAACAGTCGTTTGCACCCAAAGTACCATGGAAAGCAGGCAGATGCCTCCCTTCTCTTTCCTGGAAAAAAAGGAAAGGAAGAAAAAAGTTCCAATTCTGGAAAAATAAGCACAAACACACACACCCTTCATATAGATGCATTGGCAGTGAGAAGAGACAAAACAGAGCAAAGCCTTCTGTTTTAACAGGGAGGGTGTGTGCAAGCTCATGGACTGTCAGCCTGGCAGGTATCAGAACCATGCCTTAAACTGTCGGAAATTCTGAATGCTTCTGAGTTTCGCCTGGCCTATGGTCAACATGGATTGAACCCCAAACCATTAACCCAGCATTGGCAACCTCTGAGCTGGCGGATAGATGGCCATGCTTGAAAAAGGCGCTCGAGGTGGTGACTCTTTCCTTGTCCTATCCTCATGACAATTCAAGCCCTTGTCATGACCTCGGTAAACTTCCCTCCACCCTCCTTACCTCTACAGCCGTCCTCCTGTTATCCTACTTGGCCGGATCCTGGGAATGCCGTTCTCCCTTGTTTCAAACCACCCTGCTCTTTCCCTTTGTCCCTCCATATCTCAACCCCCTGGGGGTGGGAAAAAAACTCATAAAAACGGCTGAAGCCAAAAAGTACTGGTTTCGCCCCAAAAAACGAAGTGATTTGGTTCTCACGGTATTCCCGGTAGCATTCGACAAAGACATTCTTCTGAGTAGATGTTGTACTAGATTCACTCCATCCACTGAAGACTTGCATTCCTTTATAAAATGCATGCTTGTTCCATCTTCCTTGCACGATCCATAAACCTTTCCAGATACTGTCCCTGGGTGTAGGGGGGAAAAAAAACACCCTGTAACAAAATATTACAGGGTATTTTTTTTTTTAAAAAAGCAACAAACCTGTTTCTGAAGCAACTGTATTCGCCTCTTCTGTGTGCTTTGTTGCCAAATCCATTGTGGCTTTTGTAACCTGCGCTTTTGGTCTCAGCCCTGCTTGCATGCGTCTTGTTCTTCCCAGCGAGCGGGAGAAACGAGGGGAGTCCTTTGGAGAGCCTTCTGCCTTGACGGGTACTACGCTTATGATGATGAACCACTTCAAGAATAAATAGCTCAAGCCTTTTTAAAAAAGCTTTCCAAAGTACAACGTACTCTCTGTGTTTTTGGTGTCGCTTGTGCTGTGGTGGTTTGCTGGTGTTCCCCCCCCCCAAAAAAAAAAAACTCTGGAAAGGTTCTTTCTGGCCGGTGGTGAAAAGATAGACTCTGGTTCTTGAATGCGTTTAACTGGTGTGCGGTGGACATTGTGTGTCTCGATCTTTCCTGTATGGGGTAAACGCAGAGATGGCTTGAAAGGCAAGCATGTGTCAGTGGAGCCTCCTGTCGTTTCAAAACAAGGATTGCCAGCTGGCGGCCTGGCAAGCCGGATCTTGCTCTGCAGGCGGCAACGTCCAACCCCTGGCGTGTCTGCCAAATTTCTATCACGGTCGGGTGAGGTTATATAAGGACACCGCCAATTTGCCTTGGGTCCTGTTTTTCACAGGTGAAAATGACACGGAAGCTACCTGAACCTTCCGGATAGCTCAGGGGTTTAGGCGTCTTGACGGCCGAGCCAAAGGTTGGGAGTTCGATTCCCCGCTGGGCCCTCCTTGACCGGGACGGTTGCCCGACGAGCCACAGGGGGCCCTTCCGGCTTTGCAGTTCTACGATCCCATTTTGGCATTCCCGAGACGGGTGGTGGGAGCTGGATTAAATCAAAATGTACAGGCGGCGGGCCCAGCGGGTAGCCTGGTCTTCCTTCCGTTTTGTAGACGTCTCGTTCCGTGTTGGTTTTCGGCGCCGGCCGACCTGTGGTCCCTGCTGTTTATCCTGGTTTCCTTTTTGCTGCTTCCCCTCCCTGCAGGTCCCTATGATTTTGGGGGCGTCCTCACAAACAGCAACCGGGACGTGATCAACGGGGACGGCATCCACAAGCGCAACCAGTCCTACAAGGAGATGCACTGGTGAGTCGCCCGTAGCGGGAAGAACCAAACCGCCTTCTCTCCTGCCCTTGAGGTTCACTCACTTCCGTTATGGCCCCTTCGCCAGAGGTGGCTTCGGCTTTTCGGTGCCACCCTCCCTAGCCTTGGGATCAAAGCCTCAAGGGTTATGTTCTTGCTAGTATTTGACATTCCTTCGTCTCGTTTGCCTAAATCCTGAGAACACCAATCGAAAGGAGAGTTTGTGTGTTCCAGTTCAAGGGAGGCCAGAGAAGGCTGCCGAGGTGGCTCAGCTTGCTGGCTCCTGCCCCTTTCCCAATGGGGAGAAAACGGTGATGTGGATGATGGTTCCTTTCCATGGATGTATTTTTTTGTCCCCACCCCACCCTGTAATTTGGAAAGAACTGTACTGGATCGTATGGGAGGAGGAGGAAGAAGACAGTGATGGTGTGGAATGATAATCGTCCCTCCCTCCAGCTTCATGGCACGCTTTGAATGTTTCCCGTCCTCTCTTTCAGCCTCCACCCTGGGGATTTGTATCCTTTCACGAGGAAGCCTCTCTTTGTCGTGGTGGACTCCTCGAACAGCGTGGCCTACAAGGTAAAAAGCCTGAGCCAAGCGGCTGTGTTTTGAGAGCTCTTTGGGCAACTGGAGTCCAGAGCGAAGGGCATGCGTCCAAAGCCATCGTTCTTGAACGGGGCATCTTCGATTTCCTTGTTCTCGTAAACCAATTCCTTTGCCTTGTGCACACAGAAGTTGGGTTGGGGTGCTAGATTTGAACCCAGCCCTGCCAAACCGGAGTATACTTTTTCCGAGAGAAGAAAACTCAGGCTTTAATCCTGAACTTCCGCATGCTGTTGAAAGTGGAACGGTTGGAGACCTTAGAGGTTGAGGTCTCTGGCTGTGGCGCCCGAGGTTGCGAGTTCGAATCCCCCCCGGGCCTCCTTGGCAGGGGCTGGACTGGATGATCTCATACGTTCCCTTCCAGCTCTGCAGTTGTAAGATGATGATGATGATGATGCATTTTTGTAGCCTTCCAAACTCTTATATCAGCTTTCAACGATTTCAGGGTGGTTCTCAAGTATCTTGGCAAAGCCAAAGCTGGAAGTGTGATGGACTAAACCCATCAAGCTATTTTAACTTATTTTACAGATAATCTGTATTAACATAATTTACTGATGGTAACTAAGCTTTAGAAGAGAACTCCTTTCACTGGTCAGAAAACGGGCTGGGCTGCGGAGCCCTGTGAAAGGAGAGATAGCACCAAATGAGGATGAGAAAAGGGGATGATAGCAAAAAAAAGGAAATGGCCATCTGGGGGGACCCGGTGGACCTTCCTTGTATAGTTCTTGTTAATGGTGGGAATCTCCTTTTAAGAAACTAAAATAAATGTTAACATGCAACCTAGCATGTGCTGTGAATATTCCGATCCTTATTTCAGCTCATGCATTCGTCTTTTGCTGTTGCTAATTCCAGCGCCATGGGCACGCTGCTGTTTTGCACAGAAATAAGGATCTTTTAAAAAGTGGAGGGTTTTTTTTTTTCCATCTGAGCTTGGCCAGCCAACCTCATAAAATCAGCCAGGGCTGCTGTCTGATGGCAAGGGAGCGTTGTGCTTAATCAGCTTTCTGGGTTATGGAAAGGAAGGGGTGGGAGGGAGGAGAGAGAGTGGATGAATATTGCTCTGATGAGACCCAGCTGGTCTCTAATATGCTAACAAGCTTAGCAGGAATTAGCTTAACAAATCTTAGTGGAATTGGCACATTTAGAAGAGAGTTGCCGGGCCTCGCTTGTGTGTGGAGTTCTGGAGAGAGACCAGACAGTGGCCAGAGCCATAGCTTACATCTGTTTTTTTTTTCTTTTCTTCTCTCTCTCCTCCCCTGAACTGTTCATCATCTTCTGGGTCGCTTCTCCACCAGAGAAACTGGGATAGGCAGTGGTAGAGACCCCTGTTTCTCCACTGCCTATGCCAGATGGCAATATGAAGCCATCGTTTTTTTATTTTAAACAAATTGTACCACGGATAGGCTGCCTTTCTCCTGGGGTGGGACAAGGATTGCTAGTAACACAATAAATTACAGATTAAAAAGCAGTTAGCAAGGATTGCTAGTAAGACAATAAATTACGGATTAAAAAGCAATTACACTGTGGTCATACTTTAAAAACACACTTTAAAAACACACTTTAAAAACAAAGCTCACTGTGGTCATTGCTTAAAACCCATTAAGCAATTGAAAACGTTTTATACTTTAAAAACACACTTTAAAAACAAAGCATCCAGGGGCTCTGTCATAGTCATTAAAAGCCTGGCTGAAGAGGTGGATCTTCAGATGACAGGGGAAGGATAGGGGGGCTAATTTATCTTCCCGAGGTGGTGGCATGCCATGGCCGGGGGAGAACCACGTCTTCCTTTAAATTGTCTGCCTTTGAAAACACTTGAATTTCTCATCATTGGACTGATGTGTACAGAATTTTGAGTTTCATGTCCGCGTGATGTCCAACGGTGTGCTTCATGCACTGCTTTGGATTATCCGAAATTAGACAAACTGAACCACATATATACAGCTTGTATGGATCTGAGTATGTGTATTTGACTAACGATCCGTCTGTGGTTTTAACGAGATCATTCTTTCCTCTGGCCTTCAGGAAAACAAGCTCTGGGAAACTGTCATGAGTAAGAGCAGGGCTGAGTGTGTGTCTGTATATGGAAAAGTTCCTTCCTTCTGGGTTAAACGCTTCTTCCAAATTTATATACCATGGAAGTGTTTAACTCAGAGGTAGGTGACATATGCCCACCGGCTTCATGTCTCTGATTCAGCGCCCTCTGCTGCCAACCTTGCAGCTAAATTTTGGTATTACACTATTAGAAAATGGTACTTTTGGGGAGAACTGTGTACCCTCAAATCATACCCCTGGAGTGTATAGTTTTATTTTATATACAAAGTGCTTGCTCTCTGGGCCCCTGGTTTCCAAAACTGCTGGGGATTGTGACAGTGAAGCTAAGATGCAGTCTCCCCCCCACCTCCGTGTGAAGAGAGGACATTGCAAGCAAGTTGCCTAGTTCAACCCCTTAAACTTTTGCATCTGCAGGAAGTAAACAGGCATGCAGAGGTTTTTTTACAGATGTGTACAGCAACATTGAGTACAGATGTGCCTTCAAGCCACACCTGTGCTCCATTACGCAGTGTGTGGTCCTTCGCACCTCAGCCTCCTCTCACTAGTTGTTCTCCTTTCTGCATACAAGTATCACACCTTCGCCAGGGCCATAGAGGGGATTCTGGGAGGCGAATCGTCTCTCGTTCATTTCGATTTTTATTTATATTTTGGACACCACTCAGAGGATTGAAACGGGGTTGCCGGTTGCCCTGCAGAAGCAGTGGCTTTGTCCCGTGTTAAATTGCAGCTGTAAAGAAAAGTTCCGTCTCTTCCACTGGGAGAAGGAAGTGGGGAATGAAATTATTCATTTTGTGTAGCACTAGGCGCTCCCATTACGGCGGCCGAAATATGTCCCTCTCTTTAAACCTTTCTCTTCCAGAACTTCACAAATTTGTTTGGACAGCCGGTGGTTTGTCTGCTATCTCCCACATCATATCCGAAAGCATTGCAAGGTAGGAAAAGGTGTTTCTCCTCTCTCGAAGGGGTTGTGTTGTTGCTTTCTAATCCTATACTTTTAAAAAAACTGAGTGAACAAGAGTTGAAAACCTGCTTCTTCACACTTGTTTTTTCTTTCTTTGACCCATCCCTTCAGGAGTGTTGAGCCATCTCTGACAGGGACAGAGCATCTCTCTCTCTCTCTCTCTCTCTCTCTCTCTCTCTCTCCCCACCCCGTCTTCTGGGATTTTGAACCTTTGTCTTATTAATGTAACTGTTGATGCCGAAATTCACGACCTCTAAGCAAATGTGAATTTCTGCCTACATCGTAAAACTGCTCCGATGCAGTCCTGCTTGTGATCTCATGGCTGGGAGTATTATATTCAGCCATTTCTGCCAACGGAATCATTTTCAGTTCCCCCAGCAGCAAAATTACAGGTGTGTCTTAGGTTTGGGGGACATTATATATCATCGCATAACTGAGTTGGAAGGGGTCTTATAAGGCCATCAATTCTGACCCCCTTCTCAAGGCAGGAATCCAGATCAAAGCAAATCTGACAGCTGACTATCCACTTTTCTCTTAAAGACCTCCAGTGTTGGGGCACTCACCACCTCCTGAGGTCATGGTTTCTGTTGTCGTACTGCTCTAACAGTTAAGAAGAGTTTTTCCTGACCTTCAGCCAAAATCTGGCTTCCTGTAGATTGAGCCCATGATTCTGTGTCCTGCCGTCTGGGGTGATTGAGAACAGATCCTGCCCCTCCTCTGTAGGGCTACCTTTCAAGCCTTTGAAGAGTGCTCTCCTATCATCTTCTCCGTCTTCTTTTCTTCAGGCTAAACCTGCCCATTTCCTTCAATCTTACCTCCTAGGGCTTGCTTTCTAGTCTCCTGATCCTCCTGGTTGCCCTCCTCTGAGTCTGCTCATTGGTCGGCGTCCTCCTTCAAGTGCGGTGTCCAGCACTGGACACAGGACTCTTAGACAAGGCCTGGGGGAATCATGCAGCATAAAAAGCTTTGCTTTGAGGAGTTTATTTGCTTGACCATCTGAATTGGGTGTTTCTCTAGAAAACAACTGGGACCTTCCAGATGTGCAGGACTACAGTACCCACACTCCCTAGCTAGGTAGTGCACTTGTGGGAGATTATGGGAGTGATAGTCCCACACTTTTGTAAAGGGGAAAAGCTGTTCCAGGCTTAGCAGTTACTTATTAGTTAAGGTATAATTTCCTGATTAGGGAGCTAAATATTTCCTTGATTGAAAGCTCTCTGTATCAATTAACTTTCCAACCCATTTTTCCAGTCCATATAACTGTAAATGGTTGTGGTGGTGTTGCTCTCTGAGAGAGCTGTCCCATATCTGCTACCTCCCCGCATGACGCCCAGTCTGGTGACATAATTTGTGACACAGGAAGGTGGTGGTCAGCCTAAAAGAACCTGGAGACCTTCACCCTTTGGCGTTGGAGGTAAGTTCTCTTCTGTGCCAGAGTCAAGGGTTAAACATTAAGTATTGTTCTGGTGAAAATAACAATAGATTTGGGGTAGGGGGAAAAATCGGAGAATACTGGAAATTGCTTGCCTCTGAGCTTATACTCACACACCTTACACCAAATGGTGGATGGTCTCCAGCAGGGGAGATAAAAACAGGGGCCGTATTTAGCTCTTGCCGTAGCCTTTCCCTTATTCTTTTTTTAAAATCACAGCAGAACCAAGAGGAACTTGAGCTGAAGGATCAGCTTTCGTTCTCTTGAACAACCGGGGCCGTGAGAAGCCGTGAAGAACATAACCCTGGTTTGTGGCGTTGGGTTGGAGACAGTTTCATTGGGGTTGGGGTGGGCGGGCAGCTGTAGAGCAGCTGGGGGCTCCGCTCGCCCTGTTTTCCATGCACCCCAAACCTTTCAGGGAGTGCAGTAGTCCCCTTCTTTGAAACTAGAAATGGCTAGGAGGTCATTTCCTGTCGTGCAAGGAAGAGAAGCTATTTGAGAGAAAAGGGGAAGTATTGAAATGGACACCTACACACACACACACACACAGTAGCTTTTGGCAATTCGATTGCCCATTTTTAGCCTGATTTTCTCTCCCTGGGTTTTCTTGTTGTTGTTGTTGTTGTGATGAAGTGAATTGCGTCTGTTCCCCCCCCCAAAGCTGGCCATATGAGGCCTGTGGGGGTCACACAGTGCCCCCTCTCCTACTTTGGGTTGTTGGTGTTTCCTTACTGAGATGATGATGCTTCTTTCTTGTAGTTCTAGATGTTGCTTCATTAGTTCTAGATGTTGCTTTATTACTGAGTTCTAGATGTTTCATCATTACTGAGTTCTAGATGATGCTTTATTACTGAGTTCTAGATGATGCTTTATTACTGAGTTCTAGATGTTCCTTTATTGCTGAGTTCTAGATGATGCTTCTTACTGAGTTCTAGATGCTGCATCATTACTGAGTTCTAGATGATGCTTCATTACTGAGTTCTAGATGTTGCATCATTACTGAGTTCTAGATGATGCTTCATTACTGAGTTCTGGATGATGCTTCATTACAGAGTTCTAGATGTTGCTGAGATGCTGCTGCTTCTTTATTGTAGGTTTCCCGTAGTCGGGGAAACTCATTACTGAGTTTTAGGTGTTGCATAACTTTGCTCCCATGTTTGGCCATACTGGCTGGGGCTGATGGGAGCTGGAGTCCAACCCTTGCCTGGAGGGTTACTGCCTCGCAAGATCACCGGATGATGCTTCATTACAGAGTTCTAGATGTTGCTGAGATGCTGCTGCTTCTTTATTGTAGGTTTCCCGTAGTCGGGGAAACTCATTACTGAGTTTTAGGTGTTGCATAACTTTGCTCCCATGTTTGGCCATACTGGCTGGGGCTGATGGGAGCTGGAGTCCAACCCTTGCCTGGAGGGTTACTGCCTCGCAAGATCACCTTGCCAAAAGCTTAAGAAAGAAACGTAGAAAACGGCAACATTATACACAAAACCAAAGAATGCTGTCCTTCACAGGGATTGGGCGTGAATTGTTCCATCACCAGTCTCCCGTTCATTCTGGTTCCTGTTCTTATTATCGCAGCATTTGCCTTAATCGGTTTTATCTAAAAAATAGTGTCCAAGACCAAAGAACGCTGTCCTTCGCAGGGATTGGGCGTGAATTGTTCAGCCACCGGTCTCCGGTTCATTCTGGTTCCTGTTCTTATTATTGCAGCATTTGCCTTATCGGTTTTATCTAAAAAATAGTGTCCAAGGTGGCTAATGTCATTATCTGAAATGATCTGAAATGGTAGAAACATTAGGGTCCTTATACTAAAACGCATTAAAAGGCTCGCTGTCCTTCGCAGGGATTGGGCGTGAATTGTTCAGCCACCGGTCTCCGGTTCATTCTGGTTCCTGTTCTTATTATTGCAGCATTTGCCTTATCGGTTTTATCTAAAAAATAGTGTCCAAGGTGGCTAATGTCATTATCTGAAATGATCTGAAATGGTAGAAACATTAGGGTCCTTATACTAAAACGCATTAAAAGGCTAAACGGAAAAGATACGCGTTCGTATCCTTCCGAAATAGGAACTTCTAGCACCTCCGATAAAAACTGTGAAGACCTGATGTGGATATAAAGAAAAGAGATATTTCTAATTAAGCTTTTCTGGGTGCAGGTTGCCACCATTTTTCTGCGTGCTTAAGGACCTGTCTGTTTTCCATTGACTTCCAGATCAGTCCCAGCGAGGCAGCCTCTTCACCTTCTTTCTGAACAACCCTCTAATGGCATTCCTGTTTGTTTCGGGATTATCAAGCATGAGGAAAGGATTGTGGGACAAGTGCCACGATTATCTTCGCAAAATCAATCGGGATATCGCACAATTATTGACTCATTCCCGCTCCATCGGTAGGCTTTCCCGAAACAAGCCGGGAGGGGCAAAATGACGGTGGAGGAGTTCTCTTTGTTTTCGTTTCTTCCTTTATTATTGTTTTTAAAAGTCTTTCCAGGGAATATACAATCTTATGGGGTGAGCCTTGTGAAGAGAGAGAGAAGGAATGGATGATTGTATTCAGTGAGATTAAAGACATTCTAGGGACAGCTATACAACGACTAAACAACAACAGGGACAGCTATACAAAGATGTCCAATGATAGCATTGTTGACTATATTTGGAAATTGTCAATTAAATAAGGGGAAAATGCAACTAATTGTTCTGTTAACAGCAGATAGATTGATATTTGCAAGGAATCAGAAAAGTAGTCACCTGTTGATGTTGGAAGAATGGTATAAAGAGATGTGAAATCGAGCTATTAACGATAAATTAACTTGTGAACTGAAAGTTAAGAAAGGATTATTGAAAGAAAATAGTTTTATCTATTTAATAGACTATGTTATATCTCATCAGTATGTTTCATCTTAATTTATATCATGTGCCCTGTCTCTTTCCAAAAATATAATAATTCTTGAGATATAAGCTTTCTGTTTTGTAAATATGTATTCTACATAAGGGTTCCAGAATATATATATATATATTCCAAATTCAGTTTTAAGAGCTCCCTTCTTCCTCTCTGCAGATCAAGCCTTTCTCCAGTTTTTCGGAGACGAGTTCCTTCGCTTGCTCCTGACAAGATTCATCTTCTGCTCAGCCACCATGAGGATGCACAAAATCTTCCAGGTAAGGCAGGGCAGGCTTCCCCTTCCCCCCCTTTTACTGATAGATAAGACCAAACGTTCAGCCGTCTTGCCAGCCATCATGTCTTCCATTGCTTGCCAACCTCCGTTCTCCGTTCAGCTGTCGGATTATTCTGCACGGGCGGGGATCAGTGGAGAGGGTCAAGGAACTGAAATGTGGAACGTATAAACATTGTTCCCACCTGGAATGTAAGGCATTTTTTTGCATTTCAGTTCCTTTGCAAATCTCCAGGCATGTGTATATTAATCTGCCGTCTGACCCAAAGCTCCATGCGTGTGTTAAAGTGGGCTGTGCAGGACATAAGAACTTGTGGCAGTTGGAAGATTCTTTCTCCTGTCTACAAAAGACAATCGTAGCAACTTCTAGAAACCCTTTGTGAGAAGTGCAGTTCAGTCCTTTTGGCCCAAATCACATTGTTACATCAGGTTAGAGTAGACCCATCCATTTAATTGTCGAGTGCTCAGCCTTTGAGTCACTCTGTTTACTCTAGTTGTGACTGAAACTTGGATTTGTGTAGCGCAAAAGAGACGCCGTTTCACATATTTATATTTGGTCTGTTTTTCTTAAAGCAGGCTTAATTTTTCTTCTTTTGCATGTTTATGTGGGTGGCTACAAAGTTTGACATTTTAGAAACCTTTGGATAAAGCTGGAAAATGTGACTAACCGCTGCAGAATTGGCCAACTCATAAAGCTTTTCTAAAATTGAAGGGATTTGTAGAAGCTGATGGTGTTAGAGCAGGGATGGGCAACCCAGGCAGGCCTAGGGGTCAGTTTACCCCCCAAGAATGCTGAACCACAACCCTAGGCTAAGCTTTCTTGAGCATCTGAAACAACTGGGTGTAGACCATGAAAGTGGATGCCATATAACATATATTAAGTTTTTCAAATACAATAAAACTCTTTTTGCTGCAATGAGCAAACTTCGATGCCTCCGATGAACTGTTTTCCATTTCTGTCAAAACTAAGAAACTATGATTAATGTCTTTGGAACAAACCAGGATAGTATAAGCTGTGTTTTGATATCCTGGCTTGTTCTAGAACCACAGTTCCCAGATTCAGATGGGAAGACTCCCTGGTCTTTCATTCATATTTAAGAATGGCATATGTGGCCAAAAGTTTAACAATTTTAGTTTAAGATGAGATAGCATTGCCCACGTTTTCCTACTAATTGTCCACATACGAGTTGTCCACATTCTCCTACTAATGAATCTTGAGTTGTGGACAGATGTTTTACAGCATCTGGGTAGCCTTGTTCAATGCAATATGCTCTGAAATGCATTTCTGTTCACAAAAGCTTTGCCATAGAGTTAAAAATAATTGTTTTCTCTTCCTTTCATCCTTCTTCCTACACTAGGAAACTAGAAATTATCCTGAATCCTACCCCCAGCTGCCAAAGGATGAAACGGTGGAGAATCCACACCTCCAAAAACATATTTTGGAGTTGGCTTCCATGCTGGATGTTCGAAATGTGTTCCTGGAAACCACGCTTGATGATTATTAAAATAGAAACCTGCATCTGGGCTTTCTTACTGCATGGGTTTTTCCCCCCAGCAACACATTTTTGAAACGGTGCAGTTTTTTCTAATGTGAAGATCCACCAAAAAAAAAAAGAAAAAAGAAAAAAAAAGGAATTTACTTGATTTTTATTTTTAAACTTATGATTATTTTTTTAGAAAAAATAAAAACAGCCGTTGGGTACTGCTGTTCCATTCCACGTGGGGACAGTTTTATAAAAGAATTCCTCTTGCCGCTTAAAAAAAAAAAATTAGACTGAATCAATGTTTTGGGTTTTTCCTTTTTGATTTGGTGATTGAATCCAGCTTGGTGTCCTGTATAATCCTGGTATTTAAATGCTCTTGGTCACTTTTAGCTCGTGTGTGTGTGTGTGAAAATCCTTTATTTTTGTACAATTTTTTAAAATGTGGAAGCAAAAAAATAGAGGAGAGAAAAAAAAATCCAGGAAGAAAATGGTCTTCTTGTTGTCCCCAAAGAGTCTGAAACGATGGGGCACGGTGCAAAGCAGCGATAGCAATAAAAGCGTCTTTCAAGACACCAATGCGTTCGGTCAGTTCAAGCATGAGATCAGCTCCTGTGAAGAGGCGGCAGAGGGATCCTCCAAAAATGGAACATTTATTCCCCTTGGTTTGGAAATCAAAGTGTTCAAAGTCTGTTGCATGGGGGGCTAAGAATGCTGGAGTTCTTCAGTCACGCTCCACTTTCCCAGGAAACCTGCCTGAAACAATGTGCTCATAGGATGGATCATCACATCAAAAAGTGGGACCGATCTCTCCATTGGCGCTTACTCTGGACCCCCCTTTTTTTTAGAATCTGGCTCTCCCAGCCATGAGAAGAGGGTGGTGAGATCCGGACTGGATTCTGAAATCCCCAGAGGGAGGGCTGCTTGCCGTCCGTCTCTCCATTTATTGCCTGGCTTCAGCCACGATCCTGCCTAGAACTGGACGAGTCCCAGCTCGCCACTGGACACGATCAAACACATGGCAACGTATGGTTGTTTGACCCCTGTGACTGCCACACTTGCACTGTCAAAGAATCTGTCCTGGCGAGAACCCAGGAGAGATAACGAAAGAGAGAGCATCTTTTTTCCCCTCAACCTGGTTCCGTGATTGATGTCACACCTCCGCCACTCCGATGCCACGAAGAGAGACGTTTTCACCGCCTCTGTGTCTGAGCTGCTCGGAAATAAAACTTTGCCGCAAGATTTGTGATTTAAAAAAAAAAAACCACTTGGCGCTTCTCTCACTGCCTTGCAAAATGCAGATTTCCCTCCCTCCCCCTTGGCCAGAGCTGCTTTTTAGAGGAGAAACGGGCAGGTGGTAACTTTCCTCTCACCCAGACACCCGGTAGAGCCCCTTCGGTCGTTGTTTGCTCTACGGGAGACTCCGGTAGACCAAGCTTGTGTGTGGCAGCTTTGGGAAAATTCAAAAGTGGACGGCAAGGCCGGAGTGCTGTGCATTGGGAGCAAAAAGAAGTGAGGAGATGATCTGGAGGAAAGATGGGTGTTGGTTTGCCCAACTGTGTTCTGAAACCAGAGATCTGTCCCCAGACACAGCAGTGAAGCACAACTGTCTTGGAAAGACCTCGGCGTTTGATTCCTCCCCACTGATCTGTGCTCAGTAACTCATGCTTTGTATAGAAACATGCTTGGCATGTCTAGAATGTAATGGATGTTTTCAGCTCCATTGGAAATGGAGGAAAGTTCTGCTGGGACTTTCCTCTTCCTTTCCTTCAGGGGAAGAGGAAAATCCCGGCAAAAATAATACCGTCGGTTTTGCGTTGGTGCGTTCTTGTGATCGTCTCGAGTGGCCCTGGACGGGTGGTGAGCCTTGTGGGTTGGTGGAAAAGCTGTCCTAAAAGGATTCACCCATCCGAGCATGTTCTTACCTGTGCGTGAGCCTGCTTTGTAATGGGGTTGCAGACTATTTTTAAGGTGTTCAAAAGAAGACACGATTTTTTTTTCAACGCTAGGGCTGAGGAAGGAGGAACAGAGCAGATACTTCTTCCTTCCCCCTCAGATTTTTTGTTCAAGTAAATCTTAAGTCTATTGAGGTGTTATAGAGAGAGAGTCAATCGTAGGTCTATATCCAGGTGAGCTTACCTTGTAAAGAAAGGGATATTCCGGTTCTGAATTTTGTTTGTTCCAGCATCTTCCTGCGTGTGCAAGGTAAGGCGCCTAATGCAGGAGAAGCCCGCTCATCTACCTGAATTGGGATATTAGCTTTCCACGGGATGAAAACTCTCCCTTGTTGGGTTTCTTGCCGTGCCCATGTCAGAAGGGTCACGAAAGCAGGGACCGCAGACATGGGACTAGAACGCTCCTTTCTTTGTGTGGTGCGTTTGCAAAATATATAACCTCTAAATAGGGTCGGACTTTCCCCGGGGATTTTCCTCCAGGGACCTTGTCGTGCAAAACCACTGCCCGAGATCCGACGTCGCGGACGGTGCATCAGACGCGGCGCGTTGGGGGGGACTGGAGCCCGGTGGGAGTTTTGGGGGGGGGGGGGGGGGAGTAAATCGTAAGAGGTGCCTTAGGTCGGGCATAAAGTGCAATGAGGACATAGGGGTTGTAGGGTTTTTCACACACCCTCCAAAGCCTGTGTCGAAATGCCTTTAACTTTTGACAGGCAATCAGAAAAGCGGTTGAAGAGCTAAGGTTGTTTTCGTTGGGTTAGCTGTGGCAACTAGGCAATTGGCCATTTTCTTTTATGGTGCTTGGTGTCCCCCTCCCTTCCCGTTTACCTGTTTTGAGGCTCGTTTGTTTGTTAGTTTTAACATCAGGGCAGGTGGAATGAGTTCCTTATACATATGTGTTACGTGCACTGTGCCTGCCAACCTGGGGAGGGATGCATCTTGTAAATGTACATGTATATCTGTAGATATTTATATATAGGATAGCTTGAGAACCATAATGTATACAGAATAAAGATTTATGTACACAGGTGCTGGGCAGAATTCATTCCACGTAAGAGAGCATCGGTTAATATGCTGTGGCTCAGGCTGTGATTGCATGGGAGCACACACTCCAGACGTGGTATTTTTGCCTATGTGGAATGTCTTGGAAGACTTCATAGCCCCCAAAGCAGATGGACGGAGGGCTTGCGCATGTCTTAATAGTCAAGACAGATTGTTAACTCTCAGCTAGCAGTGATCTTGTCATGCTCACCGACCAGAGCTTAAGGTTCATGATACGGAAACCTCCCTAGAATACATTGGTGCCACTGTGGCATTATTTCCTCTGATGTATCTCACTCTGAATAGGCTTTGTTTTGAAAGTTAACGCCGAAGGGGATGTTGCTCAAGGTTCCGGCCCCGCTGCAACGTTATTTTCTGTCATGTTATCAAACTCTCAACGGGCCTTAAACAGAAGAGTCATTCCTAGGGGAAATCGTTATCTGACATGCTGGTGCCACTAACATTATGTGTCTCACTCTGAATAGGCTTTAAAACCGGACGTTATTCCTAAGGGAAACTAGTGAGGAATGTGAAACACGTGTGTTCAGCTTGCAAGCGGTGGTTGTCATCTGGAGGCCTCTTTCTTGCGTCTGTGATAAAGGAGGAGGTTATGGTGATCCTGTGAAGATTTTCACAGCAGGACCCAGCGGTCTGGCTTCGCTTTGCGCCTTTACGCTGCCACCGGTTGTGTGCACAAGGCTTCCTTCAGTAATGTCTGCATTCTGCTGATAAAATACCTGTCACCCGTAAGTCTGTAGATCGAAGCAGAACTTTTGACATAATGGATATAACAAAACACAGATGATTGAGGACCTGTATTTCGAAAGCAAAACAGAACATACGGTGAATACTGGATATTCTTTAAATGATCTACACCTATTCATATAATGTTGCTGTGTTGCTCTCTCTGGTTCCATTGCCCATGAGGCAACTCCTTTCCAAAACAAGTGTGAAGGTCTGCTAGCCAAACATTCACCTTTCTGTCAGCGTTGACGCAAGGCAGAGTCAGCAGAAGGAGGGAGCTAAAGGAAGAGAAGAGATTTTCTGACCTCGTGATGGCTAGGACAATCAATGTGTGAGGTGTAGCCTCCACAGTGGATCCGATCAAGAAGAATATATATATATTTTTGGTCACGGCCCCCCAAAGACAACAGAAAGCACTTGCTGAAATTAAGACAATTAAAAGCACACTCCATCCTTTTTTGGCGATACATGTAGCCGGAGAAGGTAAATTTCACCCTTGTGGTCAAGCTGGACCGTGTGGCACTTATGACGTGGCAGGAACAACGTCTGCTGGATAGCGGGCGTCCTTTCCTCTGTTTTTGAACTGCTTTGGCAGTAACTGGTTTTAAAATCAGAAAAAAATATGCTGGAGAAAAATCAAAGAGCCTTCTTAATGTCCCATCGGTCTGCTCTTCTTATAGGTTTTCTCTTTCTGCTGATGTTTGTTTTAGAAGGATCTTAGCTTTAAGCTCATTAGAAAGTCTGTTCCGGTACCGAAACTGGGTGAGCACAAAGGTTACTCAGTGGCTTTCTTAATTCTCACTAAAGGCAGAAGCTTAAACCTTAATATTTCACCTCTGCGTTGGCTATAATGTGCTTCTGTTTATACAAGCATTGGCGTATGCGAAGGCTTTGTGGAAAAAGTCATAGCTCTGTGGCCCAGCAGAGAAGGTTTTGCCTTTACGATAGATTTCTTTTTAAATGAATTAATAACTTCTATTATTATTAGGTTCTCAGTGCCCTCCTGAGTCACAAGATATTTATTCTGTACTCTTTGCTATAAGCACAAGAGCAAACTACATTGGGGTTAATTTTCAGCAACTGCTTCTGTTAGAAGAATATGAAAAATGTCTTTCCAAATCTTTCTTTGTTTATGTATCATTCTTTGCTTCCCCCCCTCCTTTGTGAGTATCACCGGGTGTGTGATGCATGCACAGACACAAATATGTTGCATAGAAATCATTGGTGGCTCATATAATGCTTTAAATTCTTTTGATACAGAAAAGCAGAACAGAGAGAGGAAGCTGTCAGAGAGCCGGATAAACTGTTTTGCACACACACGTAAAGGGCTACATCCAGTTATTCATCCCAGCTACATTGAGTGGGACTTAAATAAGTGTTGACTTAAACCCTGTGAGGCTACTCTTAAGA